CAGGAAAAAAACTTGTGGCCCATACTATGCTGAAGCTACACTACAGTGTGACAGTTAGAAATTAAAGCGTCACAATGTTCACAATGTATGGAAAGGAAAAAAAAACAAATAAATAATATCTGATTTAAAAAAGAAATTAAAGCATCATTTAAAAATCATATCTAAAAAATAACCTAAATAATAATGAGTAATTTATTTTGTGCATTTGTAGCTTATTTTTTAACTTGCTAACAATATATAAAAAAAAATGTTTATGTTACTCAAATGAATAATTATGCAAATAAAAATAGCCTTAATAACATAAACACAACTGGGCCTTTATTCAATTTATATTCTGGCTGAGAGCAGAAGGAAGGAAAGAGGGCAGCATTGAATTGACAGTTTGACATGTCTGTACTTAGGGCCAGATTTACTCTCTCTACTGCCCCAAGGCCAGGTTTCTCAATGTGCCCCCCCTTACCACCAAACCCCTTCACAATGGTTAATGGCAACAAGATGGCGGGGGCAGAAGGGTTGGTTTAATTTTTTACATTATTTAAAAATGTTTTTACTTTAATTACTTTTTTTTTTACTTCAATTTTTTATTTATCTAATTATCTTTTACTTTTTTATTTTTTATATTTATTTTATTATTTTTAACTTTTTTATCACTTTTACATTTTTTGTTTTTTATTTTTATTATTTCTTATTATTTTTTTACATTTGTATTTTTTTCACTTAACTTTATTGCTATCACACAGGAACTAACAAGCCCCTGTGTGATAGCATTTGGACATGACAGGTTCTCTTTATTGAACCTGTCACCTCCAATATAGGAGTTTGAGCACAGCACTGTGCTGGCTCTCCTGGGACAGCTAACATGAGAAAGCTGTCAGTGCAGCTCTCCCATCTCATTGTTCACACAGAGCAGAGAACAGATGTTCTCAGCTCTGCTCCCCACTCTCCATCCTGAATGAATGTGCCGTGGTTCCCGGGTCTCCCCAAAACTAAGACGGTGAGGGAGGCGGCCAGTGGGGACAGAGGCAGCCAGAGGAAGCAGCGGACCATGGAGGGGGGAGGTGGCGGGGACAGACCTGCAGACTTATTACAATAGATCTCGGTGGCAACGCCAGGATCACTTGTACTAAACGAGCTGCGGCTTTCCTGCTCTAAATTTATTAGCCCTGCTTGCCTGAAGCAGGGCTACATGTAGAAAAAAAACTACCCGCCTAGGGGCTGTGCCTCCCCTCTACTACCTGCCCCCCAAAGGCCAGGCCTCGGTGGCCTTGTGGTAAATCCGGCCTGTACTATGCCCTTTGGATGCCTGCTTTGCTTACATGATAATGTTTATAAAATCAATACTTATAAATAACAGATCTGTGTATCCTCACCATCGGCCAACAAGAGATCAAGAATCATCTAGCACCATATGTGAAATGTGTCTCCCTATAGCTAGTAAATCCTAGCACAAAGACTCTGTAAAGAAAAGATTATCGTCTGGCTGATACAAATAAAAAAATGTA